TCGGTATCAGTCATTCTGTCTCGCTTGCACTGATTATCGTCATCGTACGTCGGTGAACATTGTAAATTATAGTGATACACGCCACACACTGATGGTGATATAGATATCATATTATATGCTGCCGATATATTATTTTACTACTGGACTAGTGAGTAGTGACCTGCAGTCATCGTACCCGTCTTGCGCCCTATAGTCACACGCTGTAGATACCTACATTATTATTATTTGTTTTTTTAAGAAATAAGAACTTTCAAGTGACTGGCTGTCAAACTTCATTATTAATACACCGTGTGGCGTTTCTCCTAAAATAGGGTACACTGAACACTCAATGACTTAGTACCTTATACATATTCTTGAATTATGTTTGAGGAACATGCAATTTTACTGTTGGATCAACAATTCTTACAACTTACATTTTGTTAACTCTAGTATTTTGAGCCCACGCAACAACATATTTTACAACTCTGTTTTTGCAGACACCCGGTATAATTTTATTATTATAAATTATTTCTATTAAATTAAATTAAACGTGCCAGCATGTCGCATTACTGCCCACTGGCTGTTGCGCTCATCAACAACGTATTGTATTGATGATTAATTTAAGTATTTGTTATATTTGTTTTATTAATTGTGCATTCCTTACTATTTAAAAGATCATTAAATTAATATTTAATACACATTCAAAAAAGGGGTTTTTTTTTTAAATTTGACGCTGCTACATTATAAGCATAATATTAGTTTGATTAATTTTTAAACTGAGGATTGTTTTTCCAAAATTAAATGACAAGTATGATCAAGATACGATTTATTTAATATTTTTATTACGGAACAATATTATATTATATAATATGATACCTATGAATTATTATTTATACATAAAAATATTTTTAAGGTACCTACATTTTACAAGATACACTTAATATATATTTTATACACTGTATCACAATACCTACCTACTATAATACAGCAGTAGTTCAAAAAGTTAGTTACGAAAACGGTGCAGTTTACATTCCATTAATCAATTATAATACAATATAAATGCATTATATAAATCTATACATGAACATGGTAAAAATGTTATGTATATGTATAATACCGCCTATGTTGTCAATCAAATCAAAAACGATTTAAAAAAAAATCTGACGAAGAATGCTATACACAGTGTTCTATTATTGTTATACAATATGTAAAACCACGGTGATAAATAACAAATTATTGCATAGGTTAAAGTATTGTATAGGTATACCTTCTACGATAAATTAAAAAGGATTCATAATCTTTAAAGAGGAAGTTATTTACTTACGTCTTACGCACCAAATACGCGCATTTATTGTCTTTGTTAATCCAACACAAATGGTAATTAATAAGCTAATTAGTGGTCCCGAAAATTATTCCAGAAATTATTTATAGTGATCCCTGAGAAAGTTATAAATATGTGGTACCATGCCATAGGTTGGTTTCGTAGGTATAATTTTTCTGGAAATATCAACCAAAGTTCCTTTTTTGATACTAAATAAAACGAGAAGCCACAACGTGATAATGTAAACCCCTAGAAATTTTATAATTTGCCAAGCCATCGCCTATCAGTATAGTTCAAATTAACAAAAAGTTACACATCATTGTGCTATAAAATTTCAAAGTAAATAAAACAGTTTGTATCAGTCTTAATGCCCGGCCCTTGGTTGTCAAGATACTTTTAAATTTTAATACAAATGATATAATATACAAACCACATCATTTTAAAATTGAAAAAATTTTAATATTTTGTTTTATTTATTTTTTAAAAAGGGCTATATAAAAACTTTTGTGACCCCCCAATGAAAAGTTATACATTTTAAACATAGATAACTCATGATACATGCTTGTTTGATACTTGAGTTGTAAAACATAAAGGAAAAAAAGAAAATAAATTTGAAAATAAAAACAAATATTAAAAATTAATCTTTTACTTTCACTTCCTCCTTCAGTGGGTTATAGGTCATATTAATACATTAGAACTAGGGTCAATACAACATTCTAATAACTTCCATTCACTCTCTCCAATATTAATTTAAATAAAATGTTGTATCAAATATCCACATCACACCAATAATATCAGTGTATTTGAAAACCAAATAAATAAACAAAACAAAAATTCATGTATTTGTATAGATAGTAAATATAAATTAAAATATGCCTTACAACAAATCTTAAAGAATTTTTAACAGAAAATTCTACTTAACTTTAAATCCTATATTCTTACCAATTAATCAGCAATTTTTAATAGAATTTTACCACTGCTTTTGTCAGTTGAAAAATGGTCTAACGCTTCATTTACTTGATCAAGTTTTAATGTTTCTGATATATTTGGAGTAATCACACCCATTTTACACATGGTTAATACATCTTTGACAGATTGCCTGGTAAACAAATTATTTTAATGGTTAAATTAACATTTTATGAGTGTTATACAAACCTACATTTATATATTATGAAGTTACTTATTTAATAATTAAGTGTACATTTTACCAACATACATAATATGTTGTAAATATATTTTTTATATATACCTATATTGTAAATATTACACATATGTTTATTTTGTATTTATTGAATATAAGACTGTTATTAAGAAATATTTTGTTCCCCAACATACTATCAATATTATCTCTTTAAAATATTATATAGTATAAAGTATACCTTACTACAAGCAGAACAGTGCTGTTAAAATGTGTAAGTATAAATATTTTCCTTTTTTTACATACATATTATGTACATTTATCTACATATATGTCAACATGACAATGAGAATTTTTGATACCAATGATCTGGAAACCACTCATCCGATAGTCATAAAGTTTTTTTTTTAAATGATAGAGACATAGAGTATATAGCAGACGTTTTAACACTTTTTCAATCCCCATGGGTAGCTCACACATGCATTTTTTTCAGCTTACAGAAAACCAATATTATTATTTTTTATTTAAAGGGTTGTTATTGGTTACATATTGTATTACCTACTATTAAAATTGTATTAGTAGAAATATAGTGTACACATTTTTTCACAAATATATTTTTTAGTCTTTGACATGGACGTCAGGCAGGACAGCTAGTAATATATATGCTATTACAAATTTAAATAATATATAAAAACATAATGCAAGTAGATTGTGAGCTCAACAAAATATGTTTATCTCACAACAAAGTTATAAATATCATTTTTAATATTCTATAGTCTATTTATGTAATTTAATATCAATTTTTTTGTTTAAAAAATGTTAACTTAAAATATAAAATAACAATATTTACCTGTATATCCTTACTGAATGTGTACGATAATTATTTAATGATACACCAATTAAACTAAATGAAGGGCGACGTAGAAGTTCATTAATATTTAACTGTGGTAGTTGTAATGATGCGAAACCTGCAACTATTACTTTACCTTCCAGGCCAACACTAAAATAAAAACCAGATAATATACTGATTTAATATATATATTTCATTAAAAATTGATTGAAAAAATTACTACTATACCAATCTAATGCTGATGGAAAAATTTCTCCACCAACCGCATCAAATACCACATCCACTCCTTTGCCATCAGTTTCTTTTAATACTCTTTTGCATAAGGACTCAGGACTTTTAATTTCAAATGAAATAAAAGCTCCTTTATCTCTTACAATAGATGTATTTTTTTCCAAACGACAAGCTCCAATAACCTGACATTTTAAAAAATGGATTCCTAATTATTTTTTTTATTTGACATACCAATAAATTATTACACCTTAGCTTTACACATATTGGCAGCTATATCGACGGCAGCTAAACCTAAACCACCAGCAGCTGCTGTTACTAAAATGGTATTATCTTTTTTTAAGTTTGCTCGACGAGCCAACCCTATTAATGCTGTTGCATAACTGTCTCCAATTGACGCAGCTGTTTCATAAGTCAATTCTGATGGTATTCCAAAAACATCCTAAACATTAGAGAAATTATAAAATGAACGCTTATAATAAATAATAACTGCATACTTTTTCATCAACAACACATTCTTCAGCAAATCCACCCATGATTTCTTTGTTTAAAACTAATACACGATCACCTACTGATATATCTTCTTCTTCTTCATCAGCATTTGTAGCTTTGGATTCTATTACTTCACCAACAATTTCAAAACCAGGTACATGTGGCAATACCGGTTTGAATTCAGATAACCCAGAGCAAATTAAAGCATCAGACATATTCACGGCACAATACTTTACAGCAATCCTGAGCTAGAAATACAATTAGTTTATTAGAAAATGGCATTTAAAAATAAAAACCTTTTTTTAATATTTACTTGGCCTTCTTTGAGTTTATCTGCTATTTTAAAATCTTCAAGAACCAATGGTTCTTTAACAGTTTTTAGAACAGCTGCTCTAGTGAATTTAGAACGAACATTTCTCATTTCATGATTGACATGAAGCTTATAAATACCACGAGTAATGTATTTCATTGTATTATTTAACGTATCCGACAACTGGTAATGTTAATCCAAAAACTGAATTACTGAAGTTCTTTATTTGATATTTATACTATAAAATGCAATTTTTTACAGAAGACAGATACTGAGATACAGTTTATTATAATAGGTACTTATTTAGTATTTGTTAGTTATTTATTATTTTACCTCATAAATTATACTGTTATCAATGATAAAATATTATCATGATGCCGGTAGTCAGTTCATAACCAAAATAAATATTAAAGATCTTCAATATTTTATTTACTTATGGACCTATAATAAAGATCTTTATATTAATAGTCTATGAATTTTCTAGTCCCTATGGACCTAATATGGTTATACCAGTTGTGTCATTTGGATCATGGGGATCTAGTTGTACGGTGATTTAGGTGACCATTTGGGAAATCAAAAATATTATCAATACTTATCATTATGTTACAGATATAATAATGTGTATATCTTAGTTCTTGATAAAACTTGGAAATCAAAAGTATGAAAATTGAAAATGAAAATAATAACAAGTAACAATTACAACTGTTGTGTAATAATAACATTGTAATTTGTATTATTTATTAAAAATATTTTAATTCTCTAATTTTAAAATGGGCTTAAGTATGTTAAATATTATTTCGAAATCAAATTTTCGAATACTTAGACCAAAATTACTTGGTAACTATGTCGGAACGACTAAGGAATTGGGATGCACTAGATATATGAGTAACTATTTGCGTAAAATACCAATTGCCACTTCTAAAAAGGTAAATAGTTTATAATGTTTAAACAAGTTTAAATATCCAGTTAGTAAATTACTTAAATAAAATAATTATAACGAAACTTACTGAATATTGATGTATTCATTTTTAGTATAATATAGCAGTGAATAAGGAAATAGCTGCTGTAAATAAACTTATCTTAAGATATACACATTCTCAAAAGAATGAAAATGATGGTAAAAACGCTGATGATCCAAGAAATGCTATGATGATTAAAATCATGATGGCAATATTTACTGTATATATAACAGTATATGTTATAAGCATGTTATTACCTAATGCATCAAATCCTGAAGTAAATATAAATAATTAGCTTACATTTTTTTTTGCTTAATGAATGTATTATAATTTATAAACATTTAATTCATAATGTTTGTAGGATATGCGCTATGTATCTTGGAATGAGTTTGTACATTTAATGTTAGCTAAAGGTGAAGTAGAAGAAATAATTGCACGCCCTGATTTAGATATTGTAACTGTAAGATTATATGAAGGTGCTATTATTAAAGGACGAAAAGTAAATATAAATATATATCTATTTGCATTTCTGTTTCAAAAATGTGTTTAATTTTTCATTTTTAGTACCTTGTAGATCAATATTATTTTAAATAAGAAATAATTCAAATACTTTTACAGATTGATCAAAGAACTTACCATATGAATATTGCAGATTTAGAAAGATTTGAACAAAAATTAAGAGAAGCAGAAGCAAAATTGGGTATAAAACCGGGTCATGGAGTACCTGTTGTGTATGATCGTTCTCTTAATGCACCAGAATTAATATTATTTTTATTTTTGGCTGGCCTTCTTGCTTTGGCATACTTTGGCCGTTCAAAGGGGGGTTCAAAGTCTCCAATCAGCTTAGATATGTTTGTAAGTATAAGAATAAGTGGCATATACAAGAGCAAGAAATGTTTGGGAGATATGAAACTGACCGTCCTGTATCATTAAATTAACATTATTTCACTTTTAAACTAATATCTATCAACACTTAGTATAATATAATGATATTTAATTAACATTACCATTGTAAATGTTATAAATTAGTTTGAGTTCACCTAAAAAGTATTTCAAATATTGGGGAAAAATTAAGGGCTAAGCCTCCCTAAACCTTTCCTACATTTTGTTTAAATTATATATTAGGCCTTCAGTTCTTCCCATCAAAAAAAATCTCAAATGTTATTTGCGTCTGCTATTACTCTATTTACATGTAAATTTTAGAACGGCACTATGAACATGATTTCTCTATATAATATGCATTCAAATACTCAACGATTATATATATGTATATATTAGGATTATCTGACGCTTTAACACTAAAATTACATTTGAACAAGTCAGATCTTTGTTATACACTATATATGACATCACTCTTAAAAAAATCCTGGATATACCACTAATTAATATTATAAATACATTATATATTTAATATTAAAATTTATTTGTCATTAGTAATTATTAATTATTATTTTAATTATTTTAGTCTCAAATAAAACGAGCAAAATATACATTAATTGACCCATTGATTGGACAAGGTAAAGGAGTTCGTTTTAAAGATGTTGCCGGTCTAAAAGAAGCAAAACAAGAAGTTATGGAATTTGTTGATTATTTAAAGAGACCAGATCATTATAAAAATTTGGGTGCGAAAGTTCCCAAAGGCGCATTACTTTTAGGACCACCTGGTTGTGGTAAAACAATGTTAGCTAAAGCTGTTGCAACAGAATCAAATGTACCTTTTTTATCTATGAATGGTTCTGAGTTTATTGAAATGATTGGAGGGCTTGGGGCTGCTAGAGTACGGTAAGTTGGTCATATTAGTTATATTTTATTTTTGTTTTGATAATTTAGAAAAACTAATAATTTGTGATTACAAATTATAGAGATTTATTTAAAGAGGGAAGAAAAAGATCTCCATGTATAATTTATATTGATGAAATTGACGCTATTGGTCGTAAGAGATCTTCAAGTGGGCCAGAAGGTGGTGGTGATGAAGGAGAACAAACATTAAATCAATTATTAGTTGAAATGGATGGTATTGGATCCAAAGAAGGAGTTTTAATGTTAGCTTCGACAAATAGAGCAGATATATTAGATAAGGTTTACAATAATTATGTTATGTATGTGGTGAATTATTATTCACCATGTTTAATGTTATAGATTCATAAATAATATAAAAATGTATGGACATTCTAGGCTCTTTTAAGACCAGGACGTTTTGATCGTCACATTCTAATTGACCTTCCTACATTAGAAGAGCGGAAAGAAATTTTTGAACAGCATCTAAAAATCAAACTTGATAAAGAGCCTAAACATTATTCACAAAAAATGGCTCATTTAACTCCTGGATTTAGCGGTAAATTAAATAGTGATACCTATTTTATTTAAACATATTTAATTGATTATTATGTACATTAACTAGGAGCTGACATAGCCAATGTTTGCAATGAAGCAGCATTACATGCTGCTAGAAATAGCCAGAAAGTTGTATTGGAAGCTGATTTAGACTATGCAGTTGAACGAGTGGTTGGAGGAACAGAAAAACGATCTCATGCAATTTCACCTGACGAAAAGAAAATTGTTGCCTACCATGAAGCTGGACATGCATTAATTGGTTGGTTGTTGCCTACTACAGATGCTCTCCTTAAAGTCACAATCGTACCTAGAACTAATGCAGCTCTAGGATTTGCTCAGTATACACCCACAGAACGATATCTACTTTCAAAGCAAGCTGTAAGTCTTAGTTATACAATTAAAAAGATTATGATGTTTGAATGTTAGAATACATTATTTTAAGAGGCTTTAGAGTACTTGAGTTAAAAGTATGATTTGGTATGTTCTTCTATTAAATATTTATGGCATCTTTTTCAATCTCAAATGTATGCAATATTTCTGTTTAGTTATTTGAAAAAATGTGTTTGGGACTTGGTGGCAGAGTAGCTGAATCAATAGTATTTAACAGCATTACAACTGGAGCTCAAAACGATTTGGATAAAGTTACTAAAATTGCAAACTCTCAAGTAATATTAAAATTGTTATTTTGAAGAAGTATTAATGTGGAAAATAATCGTTCAAATTTAATTATTAAGGTACGTCAGTATGGTATGAATGATCAAGTTGGATTATTGTCATTTCCCGAAGATACAAAAAATAGCATAAGGCCATATAGTAACAAACTTGCAGCACTCATGGAAACTGAAGTATCCAGATTAGTGTCTGATGCTTATTTCAAAACAGAAAAACTACTAAAAGAAAACTATAGCAAACTAGAATTGGTAATGCTTTCATTTATGAATTTCTAGTATTAGGAGCTCGTACATAATATATATCTTATGAATTATGATATTGTATGATTGTATATTATCATTGTATTGTTCAACAATTGGACAATTCTATTGTCATTTTATGGTAATTGCAGTTAGTCAATATCAAAAAGGTAAAATAGTCTCAGGGTTCCACATTTTTAGACCTCTATCCTTATGCATAATCATGTTTTTTTTAACCTAACAGAATGTAAGTTTTCCTAAATCCTAATTTTCTTAAATTAAAAAGGACATTAAGTATCATACAATTGATTAACTTTCTTATATTTTTATCTAAAAATTCTAAATTATGTACAAAATAAATATTATCAAAAATATTAACTTTCAGTTTACAAATATTATACTCCAAGTATAATATTATTCAATGATTAACTTGTTATCACTTAATTTTTTTTTACTTTTTAGATTGCTGAAGAGTTGTTGAAGAAGGAATCAATAAATTATGAAGAAATGGTAAAATTAATAGGTCCACCACCAAATGGGGAAAAACGTGCTGTAGAGATGTACGAGTTTAACTCACCTGTGGATGCAAAAAGTACTGATTCTTCAAAAAATTAATGGCTGTTTAATATTTTAAGTGTTTTGTTAACTGATGTTAGTTTAAATTTAATTGTGTAAAATAATAACAAATCTGCAAGACCATGACTTATGAATTATAATTTTGAATTTAATCATAAATACTCTTCACCCAGAAAAACTAATTTAAAATCAATATTATTTAGTATTTTTTGTACATTGAATTAAGGTAGTGTATATTTTATTGTTGAAAAAATATGCACTCATAAAAGTATGAAAAATAAAAATGGTGTAACATTAAACAAATAACTGTGGATGTTATTATGTAATGTGCTAACAATAATCATACCCATAGAGTGTATTCAGAAAATTAATTAGTGTAAGCTATATGCCTATAGTATATGTACTCAAAACTTGCTAAAAATTTGAACTATTGTAAAAAAAACTCACATAAAAACATAGATAATGTTCTTACCAAGTGTTATAATCGGTAGATTCACTCTAATTTTTAAGCTAACGGAGCTAAACGTGATCTGCTGAACATAAATTTGCTGTCCCGTCCCGCACTTGTAAGAGTAAGACGGAGATAAAAAATATGTCCGTGTCAAACTAAAATATACTAAAAGTGGATACCTACCTAATATGTGGAAATATTTAGTGTTTTAACCAGAATATGACTTCCTGTCTCACCACAACTAAGATGTTTGGTTGCGCTCGCAACAACTAATTACAGTTAAGCTTTTGAGTACAGTCCATTTGAGCTAAGATAAAAAGTTATGTTTGTGCCAAATTTAAGTGCATAATCATTTTACAATTACAGCTTTGTTTTATTTATATATTCTGAACATGCTGACATGCTGTTCAGGGGTCGCGATTTCAATGAAAAAAAATGGGGTGCTGAAGCCCCTTTATTTTTTTCATATTATCTTGTGGTTGTGGATACCTGCATAGCGACTATTAAAATGTAAATTAATATGAACAAAGTCGGGAGTACTAATTTCAAAGTTGGGGGTAATATGCACCCCCCAAATTGCGTCTGTGAATTGCTGTTATCTGCTAGACTAGGTACCTACTGGAGCACGGTTGTAGAAATTTAATTTAGACAACCGTGATCTAGAGAACTGGAGAAGCCTGAACACAACTTCATTAGTACACTCTAAACTACACAAATGTAAGTTGAAGCATATTATAACATTAGAACAATATAGAAACGATATAAAAAGACGATATTTTTGTCCAATAGTCCGTGGTTTCTTGTTTATCTAAAGTCTGAAGTCTGGACCTACAAAAACATGGAAACGAGGCCGCGCACCAACATGATGTTAAGCCATAGAGTAAGACAGTAAGTCATAAATCATAATATATTAATCTATGGAGTAAGTACGTAGGTAACAAGAAAGTAGGTGTACATGAAACATGTCTAATAAAAATGTATAATATGTGAAATTCCTTTTTCCTACCTAAAAACTATATTGACAAAACAGAAGTAGGAGATATTTTAGAACTGATAATTACTAACAATAAATACATTATCTTATATTGTGTAACTAAATATTAAAATTGAAACACTTTTTATAATTGACATGACATCATTTTCATAGATTGTTAAGATTTGTAACGCATACTTGGCACTTGCCAAAAATGTCTCGGTGGTTTTATACCTAATTTTATATAAATTGGCCTACGAATGATTACTCAGTGGTCAGAACAGAGCAGAAACATAGATATATCTTAGAACTGTGGAATGTTTGTAACTACCTACAGTTTTTGCTCATTTTAATATGGCCTCAGGTAACAAATAATGGTACAGTTAATAACTTAATACATTCCAAAGCACATTTTAAAATCAGAGCATGATTAGTGATTACATTTTTTGGTATTCTTATTTTATTTTATTAATTATTATTGTGGTACCTAACTGGCCTGGTGTCTACCGTCTACGTTCAGTTGGGTACGCGCTCTACGTGCACTGGTTGATATTACTAGTTCCCGGATGGGTGACCACTCGGGATTTTTACTTTTTTAATTATAGAATAAAATATGGTATTCAATTTTAATTTTTTTATAAATAGCATTTATAAAGTAGAGACAAATATAGGAATAAGGGATGTGCCATGTGCGTATCTGCCGCCGTCACGGAAAGAAATCGAAATCGTTTTATCGTTATGTAGTATTTATTATTTACACACGCTAGAATATACACTCGATTCCATTTATACGAATCTAGGAAATAAAATCCACGTCATAGAGGCTGAAGAATGAAGATATAGGTATTGTTCCGTGTTCCTTCTAAGTCATATAAATACATTTGAACAAGAGCATTTTGGAGGTAATAATACTAGCTAATATTTTAAAAACTTACAGGCCTAATGAACGTTTGTTCAGGCTTAATTATTTTAGTTTTCCTGAATAATAATTGTTATACATTATGTTAGTCACGAGCCCCTAACTACCCAATACTCAAACCTAATATGCAACGATTTTTTGGGGGAGGGAGGTTGTGGGTGTTCACCCCCCCCCCTTTAGGCACGCCCCTGATATTTGGAGTTAGGACAAGTTTTAAATATAAACATTATCCATCTCGATTTTGAGATAACTGCTCATACGGCTGTGCAAAAGTCATTTTCTGGAGTAACAGTTAAAGGCAGTAGATTCCACTTTGGTCAAGCTTTATGGTGGAAAATCCAATCAAACAATAACCTACGACAGTCATATAACGCTAATCAAAATGAAACTGGTGAGTGTCTAAAAGTGTTTTTTGGATTACCATATTCACCAATACATGAAGTCAGTGAGTCACTAAGGCATTCATTGATTTTATGTCCAGATGTCCATAAGATGCATGTACTGTATTTGGAGACTACATCCTTAACACTTACATTGAAGAAAAATTCTCAATGGAAATTTGGACCCATCCAATCAATGCAAATAATATAACTACAAGGACTACAAATGAAGCTGAAAGAGTTCGCCAAGGATTTAATCTGAATTTTATTCTGTTGATTTATTAAAATCTTTAAAATGTTGCAACACTAGGTACACATAATGGATTTGTTGTTTGTATTATGAAACAATTTTTCGTTGAATAAGAAGGCGAAGTGGGGAAAAAAAATTTTAATAACATATTTATGAATTTTATTTTACTGCATACTTATTATTGAATACATTTAAAAGTCTGATAAAATAATCGGCAGTGTATTTATAACTCGCACAACAATAAAAACGATAATTGCAAAAAATGTGAAACGCGATAAAATTTGTTGTACATAGACACACTATAAAGCATGAATCGAAACCAGAATTAATCAAAAAATTATGCAATTTTTTAAAACCAATTTATTTATAAATCTTAACCAAAAAAATTTATCTTTTACGAAATTTGAGGCTTATAAACGAGTTGAGTCTTATAACCGAATTTTTACAATGCATATGGATATTATATGCATATTAGATACGTCCGGGCCGTTCCAGACGTTTTTGAGTAAATAAGCAACTGGAACTTAAATCTGTGAACCTTATAAGCGGTGTCCACTGTATCATTGTAATATATTTTATGTACTACACAGAGTCCTAAGAAATGCAAAACCTATGCATTAATATGATGTTTGCGACACGATAGAATATTCTGTACTCATGCATATTGCCCATCATGGTATAAAGGTATGCATGAGCAAGTAAGCAACGGGCATGAAGGCGGATACACACCTCGTCGTGTCGTGCAGATAACGTCTGACCAATATTTTGTAACCCATTTATTAAATATACGGAATACTACACGACTCGACGAGGCATGAATCTAGTATCCACTATCCACCCATGATATGATTAATATTAATATCAAAGGGGTGCGAATACTAGAAATAACAGACCCCAGTAAATAAATAAATAAATAATACAATCGGTAATCTGTATTAGAAAACCACAGATAAAAAATGGTCGTTTCTTCCATGTTTTTTGACGAACCACATGTACCAGTCGTCTGGTACAGTGCGGTTGTGGTTTTTAGTATTTCCTGTCGTATGTTTTGTACCTAAATTTCTAATTTCAATAACTTCATTAACATTTTGTTTTTGTATAGCACAAGCACTAGTGCACTACAAACTCGTCTGCTGTATACTGGGTACTGTGTGGTCTGTGCCGTGTATTGTGTACATAGTGTTACGTTCTCGATAAACAGATTTTTTAATAAATTAGTTTGATAATATATTGCGACTTTATAAATTGATTATCTCTATACATTTTAATGCCATCCGAAATGTGTTGTTTTCCGAATAGTTTTTAAACTATGTGTCCTTATCGGGTTAGAAGAAAATGTAGTCAATATAGTTACCCACTCTTGTAGTCGATCATCGCACCACAAGTTGAAATCTACGATCCAAAAGCAAAGCAGGCGAGGAATTCAATACTTCAATGTCTTCCATAAAGACTTGTGTACTGCTGGCCGTAGGCTTTCTATTTATATTCTGTCATTCTGTAAACGGTATAATCATTTTTTATAATTGTCATTAATCTTGCCACTTAATACTTATTATTATGGTTTATGATTATTTGTTATTACAGGTTTATCATGTTATTGTGACATATGCGCTGATTCAAACTTCACTTGTGTAACTGATGGGTATTGTTTCACAAGTATATCAAAAGATACAAGTGTTGTTCTTCATTCATCTCGGTAAGGTTGATTTTTAATCATCATTACTTGTATTGTAGTATCTTTGTCTTAAAATATTTTTTAATATTATGAGTTAAGTTAAGAATTTCTTAACTCAGAACAATATAATAGGTAATGAATAATGATTATGTCATAATTCAAATTCTTAACAGTTATGCCACTATATTCTCTAGTCCTGTAGTTTTTCTTATGTTGGATAGTCAAATCAACTAAAACTTATTTACATAATACATAGTATAAGTAGGATTGAGATTGTAATGCCCTAAACATTCAAAATATTCTCCCTGTAAAATGCACATACTTTTTTTTATTTTTTAACAATTTTTGAACCATAAAATTACATGACTTTAATTTCAAGTCGTCTAGGTATGTGGACTTATTCTAAAAAAAAATTATTCTCATTTAGTTCAGTGTTGATCTTTTACTTACTCTACTTAGTAATGGGTAAAATTATGATGTTTCTTCAGTTGGAAAAAGCCTGGAAAAAGTACATGACAGATTGATATATTGGAGAACTGCGCTAGAAAGGATAAATAAAAAGTAGAAACAAAACAGAAAATTGTCTATGATTATGGGAGAAGTAATCGAAAAGTTGATTTGGGCAAGGCAGGGGATGATGTACCTAGTATTTACTTAGAATCGGTGGTTTTGAGGATGGTGTCAAAAAGATGTCTGGGTGGATGAAGTGGAGAGAGCTGTCAGATATTTTTGTATCTTTAAATTCAAAGATATGTTTTGTAATGAAGCAGCGGCGAGGCCAGTCATATTGTATGGCATAGTCATGGCATAGGCATGACTGTGTATGTATGGAGTGATTAGGGAAAAAAGGATAAGAAATTATTGTATTAGGGATAGTATTGGAGTGGCGCCAATTGTAGACAAAATAAGGAAGTATAGGTTTGGATAAATTCAGTCATGTAGTGAGAGTGGCTATAGACATCAATGTAGAAGGAATGTAAATGAGAGGAAAATTGATAGAGAAAATAGAAAATAGCTGGTGTGAGTAATGAGATGGAGACAGAACCCTATGGAAGTAAAGGACAAGAGTGGTCAACCCCATATAGTTGTGAGCAAAGGGTTATGCCAAAGGTTCTAATAATATTTGGATAATTTTTTTAAAATTTTATCCTAATCTGTAATTTTACATTTTTTTGTTAGTCGCTATTTTTTCGCTAAAAATGTATTTGAAACTAATTTATTTATATTTTTGGTTGTTTTTTATCAATTGCGTCTTTTATTTTTCTCATAGAATAATTTATGTGACGGTGACTATTCAATATGTTGCCATAGCTACCTTTACCATTGTTTATTTTATTTTTATTATTTGACAACATTAAATTAAGATAATTTTATTTTCTTAATGTGGTATTGCCTATTATATTTAATTTACAAGTTAATATTTATGATTTATATCACATATTATTAGATCTATCATTTTATTTTTGTTCAGGCAATTTTCTATTTATAATTGTGTGAATTTCACATTAATATGTGATATCTATTGATATTATTCTTAATAGTTACTCTAAAAATAATTAAAGAATACTGAAATCCAATCATGTCTATCATTTTTCATTGCTTACAAATTTATAACAATAATACTCAAAATCTTTGACCATCATGTGCTTGATGAGACAATAGCTCAATAAACGTTCACTTTATCTTGTGCTGTGTTTTTCATCTGCATGCTTTTCTATTTCATATGTATTTTAACATAGGTAACTTTATTTTGAACAATTTTTATTTATTTCTATTGTATAGTAATTAAGAAAATAAAAATTACTATATTTTACTTTCTTGATATATTGCAACTCAATTATATTTTAAATATGTACCAAAAAGAACATTTTCGTACATGGCTTTTAATAATTTTGATCAATTCTATCAATAATTTTTTGTAGTTAACACAATTATTATAATTGAATTATAATTGGTATATCATGTCATGTTTTCAATAATCCTATTAAATTATGTACATATTATATAGTATAGTATAAGTATCTTAGTACAGTTGTCCCTCATCAGTTAAAATTCTGTAAGTCACCAAAGAAAGTTTGAGAATAATCTTTATTTTATATTTTGCATTTTCTTAAAATCATAACATCTTGTACATTTTAAATATTTAATTGTATGTTTTCATGTATTATTTTATCTGAAAAATGCAATGGAATAATAATCAGTGGGGCTTGTAAGTTCATGCACTAAAAGAGCACAAATAAGCATGCACTAAAAATTGGCAAAATATGCATTTAAATGCCCTTAAATTTTTTAATTATGCACTCAAATTTATGTAAAAAATTTATGAGCCAATTTTAAAATAATAAGAATCTATCCATTTATTTTAAAAGTATTTTATTCCTTTTAATTTTTATACATTTAACAATCAAAATTAATAAAATGAATACTTGTGAAGTTCTTATAATCATATGGATTTATCATCTTTATCAATTTTAATTAGGTAGTCATTTGTTGTCTAATTTTTGTACATCATTATCCTGCAGCTACAATGAAAACATTTGGAATGAAATATTAGTTATTTGACTTTTTCACGACTCGTACAACTAAACAACTCATTGGTGACTGGCGTGTGCAAGAAAACTATGCCGTACCAGTGTACAAAATTGTAGATGTGGGTTTGTAAGAAACATTGTACACGTAAACATACCTGTACAGGTATCGTTTCGACAACAGACTTTACAAGGCAGAGGATGGTAGTGGTAGCGATAAAATTGTTTCTGCGGTACTAAGTAAAACTCATAAAATCTAAATAGGGAAATACTAGAATACTAAGTAGTCACACGAAAATAAAAATAAATAAAAACACTATCATACTGTAAAAGGGAAAGTAAATAAGAAACAAGAATCACTTCAAATATTTTTATGAAATAATATGTGCCATAAACTAAAAAAATGATTATATTCCAAATATGCCTTTACACCGAAAACATGCACTATTAAACTTCATATTATTATTACTATTGTTATGAAACGGATTTGTATCTCAGTTAGCATGTTTTTCTGTGTAGTAAAAAAAACATGCAGATGCATGAACTTACGAGCCCTGATAATTAGTAATATGTATTATGTATATGTAATTAATAATGAGTTGCAAATTCAAATTTATAAAAAAAAATGACCATAATAGAGGAAAAACTAATCTAGGTTACTTAAACAAAATACTGAAAACTATCATTTGCACTAATACACAAGATAATATGCTGTCTCTTCAACTATAGTTACAGCATTTTTGCATAGCCTAAAAAGTATACGGCTTGTTTACCAAATATCCATACAAGTTTCAACGATTTACAATGTTTTTACTTATTTAATTAATATTAGCTATATCATTTTTGCTAAGCGATATTTCAGACTTACCTGATTTTTCATTTGCAGTGTTGTAGAGCTTATGAAGGCAGTATAATATAGGTTATAATTATTGAGAGATCAAAGACATATTTAAAACTAAGGAAAATGTCTATGCTACTTTTACATCTCTATACATAAAAAAAAAATAGCCGTTCCCAATTACATCCCCGTTCTGTATATATTGACTATTCTGATTTCTGTGAACTGTCCAAAAGCCTTGTCCTGTCTTTTTATTATTTAAAGATTTATCAAAAATTAAAAACAATTTTCTTCAGATGAGTCATATTTACAATTTCTCACTAATTTACAAGCTAAGAATTAATTGATAGACAAATCTTAATCATTTCCATGTATTCCATGTTCTGTCCGAATTATTTTTTTTCTTATGATTTAGTATTGTTTTTATAATGAGTTGATCTTTTTTGAATTAGGTACCAATAAGCTTTAATTTTAACTTTTAATCAAACCTAAAACTTTATTTATATAATTTAAACCAGTCTTTAAACAAATTTATTTCTGTATTATTCTATACAGATATATTTATATTTTTTTACTTCTAGTTCATGAATCGTTAAATTTTTTATGCATATACACTGTATTGATCAAGTACCTACGTATAAAAAACAAGGGAATATAATTTAATTTGTAATATCTTTAATTATTAGTACTGTTTTAAGTATAACAACCTATACAAAATTAGTACTTTTCATGGTATAACATTATAACCAGAACTCACAATATAAAACCCTATGTACCTATGATATATTTATAATTAGGCATATTTTAAATAATTTATATTGGGAATTGGCTTTAAGTTGTTTGCACAAGTACCAGTTTTTCCCACCAGAAAAGCCAAATATTTGTTTTCGAAGAAAGTTTCTGGATGAAATCTCAGTGTCATGTTGCCAAGATCGAGATTATTGCAATCGTTGGCTATACCCAAAACTTGTTGAAGTTAAACCTACAGGTCTATATATAATTTATGTGTGCCCTTTGTAATTGTTGTTGAGTTTATTTGGTTTTCCCAACTAATATTAATATATAAAGGTAGAAATTCATTTTTAAATCAATATTTTAACATTATTTTTTTTTGACATTTGTTTGTTTGTTCGGTTTTTTTTTAATAAATAAATAATTTATTATTGTTATTTTTAAATAATTGTTGTCAACTAAACTAATAATAACTGTAGGCTAACATCTAGGCAGTGTGTGTTAATTAACGTGTTTGAACTTTGATAACTGTGCTCGTTTTAGGTGTTTGGAGAATAATATAGTGATCCCACGAGAAAAACCTTTGATATGTCATTACCCTAAAAAACATAATGATTCATTTGTAACCGAGTGTTGTAAAGACTATGACTTTTGTAACAGAGATCTTAAGCCGACACTACATGTTAAGCTTCCAGGTAGAATTATGTTTTTTTATTTTCTAAAATAATATATTTTTCTAATTATTGCATGGATTTTAATTAATAATTTATATTTATACTTAATACATTTTTGCAAAATAATTATGTTTAAAAAAATACAACGGGTTAAAATAAATTTGATAGGGTTATTTATTTTTTTTTTCAAAAAAGATAAATAATTCATAGTATTTTATATACACAAAGCACATAACTACATAATGCTTATTTATAATTCATAATCCTCAGCTTGATATTTTATGCATAAAACATTATTATATAATATTATAATTCATATTATTCATACATGAATGTTGTGTAAATACAGATGATTCATTGAATGACCCTAAAAAGGAGAGATTGGGAAAATGGGAGCTAGCTATAATAATAGCTGGCCCAATAGGTGTTGTATGCCTTGTAGTCATGCTTATTATGAATTTTTGGGCTGGATCAACTAAACTTCATAATATTAGATATCTACGAACTCCCAGAATCATAGCTGCTGATCAGCAACCTATTTTAACGGCAGCTGTTTCTTTGAGAGACATGATTGAAATGACTACTAGTGGATCAGGATCAGGTTTATATTCACAAAATATTCATTTTATGTATTTCAAATTGCTTAATTTGTATCCAATTTTATAGGATTACCGCTTTTGGTTCAAAGAAGCATTGCTCGTCAAATCCAACTTGGTGTACCTATTGGTAAAGGTCGTTTTGGGGAAGTATGGCAAGGAAAATGGCGAGGAGAACAAGTAGCTGTAAAAATATTTTCATCTAGAGAAGAACGATCATGGTTTAGGGAAGCTGAGATTTACCAAACAGTTATGCTGAGACATGATAATATTTTAGGATTTATTGCTGCTGATAATAATGGTGAAATACTGACCATCTTAATTATAAAATTTGTTTTTATTATAACTAATAATGATTTTAGATAATGGCACTTGGACTCAATTATGGCTAATAACTGATTACCATGAAAATGGATCGTTATTTGATTTTTTAAACCGAAGTACAGTAGATACAAACGGAATGATTCGTATAGCACTGTCTATAGCAACTGGTCTTGCTCATTTACATATGGAAATTGTTGGCACTCAAGGTAATATACATTTATTATTGCATTTTTTACATTTTATATTGAAATATACTGCATTTTATGAATTTCAGGTAAACCAGCCATTGCACATCGAGATCTCAAATCGAAAAATATTTTAGTCAAATCAAACGGAACTTGTGCTATTGGTGATTTAGGACTTGCTGTACGATATGATACTTCCATGGATACAGTTGATATCCCATTAAACCACAGAGTAGGCACTAAACGATACATGGCCCCAGAGGTAATATTTTCAAGAAATTTACACTATTTATAAACATGTTTTAATTTTGCATATTTTTATGTAAAGGTTTTGGAAGAAACGATCAATATGAATCATTTTGATTCATTTAAAAGAGGTGATATTTATGCTTTGGGTTTAATTCTATGGGAAGTAACACGGAGATGTTATGTTGATAATATACACGAAGAATATCAATTACCATATTATGATAGTGTACCATCTGATCCTACTATTGATGAAATGCGCAAAGTTGTTTGTTTAGAAATGAAACGACCCCCTATACCACAGAGATGGAATGCATACCCGGTAATATAAACAAATTATTGTCAGATTTTCTTTATTAAAATTTTATGCCTATTCTTTAATTATTTTATTCTAGTGTTTACAAACAATGAGCAAATTAATGCAAGAATGTTGGTACCATACTGCATCTGCTCGTCTTACAGCATTACGCATTAAAAAAACTCTAGCCACTTTGGGTGCCATGCAAAGTCATAGTATTAATATTAATATCTAAAAACTTAATGGCCTCATAAAAGATAAACCTTTAGCTGCCAATAGATTATCTACAAACATAATGTTTTCAATTTCTGGATATGTAATTTAAGTTTCATAGTTTATGAAGTCTCCTAAAACATTGTATGTGCCATTTTATTCTTCGAAAATGTGATGGTATAGGAACTGTTTTATATTTAATAACTAATACGTACTTATTAACTGTGTTTTTTGTAATCATTGTACTTGGTTACCATAACAAAACTTATGAGTGTTGCAAATTGTATCACTTTATGAACAATAATTTATTTCAACTCAAAATAATTTAAAATGACTTTAAAAAAATTTATTGGTATTGTTGCAAATTTGAAATTTCTATAAAAAAAATATATTCTGGACAATAGATATTTTATACTTGCATATAAAAAACTATATAAAATGAATATTTTTTGCATGGTTATTAACCATATTTTTATATTATTCCCATTTTTTTTTTAATTAAAATTTTCAAGAAATTTTGGAAAAAAACCTATGTTCACCACTAGGATCTCATTAATGTAGCTTTCCATAATACATAACTACTATCTAACACTTTGATTCCCTCCTTTTTTAGTCTAAGAATCTTGTTTCTTTTTGTCAAATATCATATAAATAAAACAAAATGGTTTATTGTCATATAATTACTTCCGATTTAATCTTATTTACAAATAATTTTATAAATTATAACTATTTTATAAATTGAAAATCAGAGTTTGACTTAACAAATAAAATAATTTTATATTGATCATGAAGTATAATATGCACTAAGTTTATTTTTAATTATAACCTTGTAATACGACTGTAAACTAAATATTTATTTGTGCTCCAGTTTTTATTGATTATTGATTGAATTTAACTCGAGTCAAAATACGACTCTAGTTTATATAATTATAAAATATGTCATAATTATTTGCTCATAATTAGAGTTTATGTTAACTGTTAAAATGTTTTATATTTTCTTTTTTTGTGTTTACCTACATACAGTTTTTTAACTACATTCGAGATAATTTTATATACATTAGGTTAAATTTAAATATAAGTAGTGTACATAATTATACCAGGTGTCTCATTTTCTTATAATCGAGGATTTTAATTATTTTTAAAAGTTTCATGAGTACATTTTACTTTGAATAATGCTGTTGAATTAAATTTCTAACTGACAACTGATTTTATACATTTTTGTAACAATGCATATAATATCTGAATATTTTTGAGACACAATGTATATAGTATGTATTTATTTACCTAATTAATGTTAAGTCAGGCTTAATGATGTTAGATTTGAGATGATGTGTACAATACTTATATAATTAAGAGTGCAGAAATCCTTTGTTAGTGCTCAAATTAAGAAGAAAAAAACAGAGTAGCCTAGATGATTAATAACAGTACAATTTACTATTAAATATTTTATACTACTTATTGTACATAAATTATATGTTATATATATAATGATACTTATAAATGGCTATTCTTTTCTTGGAGGCATTATATTTGAATTGAATTTTAACAGTTTTAGTCATAAATGCATAAGCAGCTTTTTTTCTACAGAGTATTTTTCAAATAACAATATTATAAATTATTTATTATTTTGTATTGCATAGAAGTAAATGTTCTTTTGACAAAAATTATTGTTTTATTAAAATTTTTATACAATCATTGTACTTGTCTGCCATAGTCAAGGTTTTATAATCCTCATAATTTATAAATTGTGTAACTTATACATTTAAAATTTTTGTATACTCTTTAAAATCAAGTTAGCATTACAATGCTATAAATATTTTCTGATAATTTTAAATTGTATAATTATAGAAAACAATAGACAAGATGTTATTTTGTACAGGTGTATGATAGTTATACATAACAGAATACATTTATTATTACTTTTTTTGTCTTCTTTGAAGTGTGTAAATATGATATTGCTTAATTTTTTCCTCACTAAGCTATTTTATTATATTTTTAGTTTTTGTAAGTTAATATATCTATTAAAATAAGTATTTGTTATAACTGTACCCCCACCATATAACCATACTGCTCTCTACCAACCCATATATATTTTTTAACTTGTTTTTAGCCTGAAAGCTTTTAAGAGTTAAAATGTTTTGTTTTAATTTATATATTTTTTTCATTAAAAGATATATGTGTATACTATGATAAAAAATATATTTCTATTACATATTATAATTTATGACAGAAATCATTTGCATCTATATTTCTTTTCTTAGATTCTGATCTGTGTTCAAAAATGTATTTTATTTAATATTCTCTGAATTCACCGTTGGAAAATAACAGATGAGAATTTTTGGAATTCCGGGGTATTTTTGATTGTTTTGTTCTGGGTGATTTTACTCTAAGATTAGTCAAAAACATAAAAATGACAATTCTATGTAAATGTGTTTTGTCTGTTGCCCTTGGGCCAGTGAGAAATCAAACACTGCACTGACATCCTACTAAACATAAGATATTATTTGGTTGCAATACCTATAATTATAACAAAAACTTATTTGTTTATCAAGACCAAGTATACTCTGGTTTCGTGATTGCATGTCTAAGTTTTTAAGATCAAGTAAATAAAAAAATCCATCAGTTTAAATATTTTCTCAAATAATAAATAAAACTATCCTCACTTTTACTATTGTTCAATTTAAAAAAAATGCATATTTAAGTATATACAGAGGTTTATTGATTATCTTTTCAATTTTTAAGAGAATATAAGAATATTTGAAGATTTTCTTGAGAGAATATTAGTATCACATTCTAGGTGTTTGAAAAAAATATAAATTCAGATTTTAATCATGACCAAATAGATCTTTGTATTTGATTGAAAATTACTTATTAATTCAAACATAGAACTATTATATACAACAATTTAAATCCAAAAATATTAACCATTTCAGAAATGTTTTCTTTTAATATTTGGTAAATTAAGTTTCAGCTGCTGAGACTAAGTGATATTATGATTAATGAATATCAATACTTAGAAAATATAAAACATATGATTGAGCTAAACAAGAACCACACAAACACCTAAATATGGCAGTCAGTAAATCATATAGGCATTTTAAGAGAGGTCACTTTTTAATTTAAGCTTATAAATATTTTTAATAGTTATCATTAAGTAACTATTAAGGTATTAATTGTGTAAAGATTATGACATGCTCTTTGGTCAAATTAATTTATCAGAATTTAGAATGGTCTGTCACCATAACCTTATAAATAGTGAATAATGTCCTAACTCATACTCATATCAAGCATCATACAGTATGTATAAATAGATGTCTTACCTAGGAAATATCAAGTACCCAAATTATTTGGATACATTAGACAACAATTTAATTTAGTAAAAATTATGAATTTTATTAAACATAGGTGTATATAAAAAAAAAGATAATACTTTTCATTTATAAATATATCTGAAAGTGAATGTTATTATTATTATTATGTAAGCTTACAATGCATGAAAATAGTTTAAATAATAACAAAGTAAAATATGCATCATTTTTTTTTCACATAGCACATGAAACGTATTAAAAAATATTAGTAACCTAGTGTTAATTTTTTAATGAACAATATTAGTTAATTAAAGCTCTCCAGCATCATATGCTTGTTGATATCCACGTCCAGCCTTTTGTTCAGGATCTAATTTGATCATATCATCTATTCTAAGAATAGTTATTGCAGCCTCTGTTGCAAATTTTAATGACTTAATTTTGGATATAGCAGGTTCCAGGACACCAGCTTTAAGATTGTCCCGTATTTCACCTTCTTCCAAATCTAATCCATACCATTTATAAACGTCGTTTTCACTACTTGTTTGGCTTTCATTATGGTAAGATCTGAGTTTAGCCACCAACTCTGTGGCATCTTGTGCAGCGTTTATTGCCAAGGTTTTAGGGATAACCAACAGAGAGCGTGCAAATTCTGCAATAGCCAGTTGCTCTCGTGAACTCAAGGATGTAGCAAAATTTTCCAAATAAATAGATAAAGCAGCTTCAACTGCTCCACCACCAGCTACAGCCGATCTAGATTCAAGTACACGCTGAACTGCGCACAGAGCATCATGAATAGAACGTTCCATTTCATCACAATAGAAATCATTTGGTCCACGTAGTATAATTGATGCAGCACTTTGAGCTTTTGGTCCTTTAACAATTATTAATTCATCTTCAGATATTTGGTCTTGAACAACTTCAGCAGCTTCACCAAGACTTGAACTTTCGAAAGTCTCTTCTCCTTCCATATTTGTTAAAGAAGTCAAAAAAGCTGCACCTGTGGCTTTGGCAATTCTTTTCAAATCAACCTTTTTAACACGGCGTACAGCCAAAGCTTTTGCTTCAATGAAATACTTCAGGCAAATGTCATCAATACCGCCCGTGCATAATATAACATTGGCTCCAGTTGCTAAAATTTTTTGAACACGTTCTTTTGTTATATCAGACTCACGTTGACGGATAGCTTCCAGCTGGTCTACGTCATTAACCAAAACCTGTACACCTAATTTCATTTTTGTTTTTTGGAGAGAAAAATCTAAACAAGCAATTTTGGCATTTACGATTTTTTTTTGCATTGCCTCAGAAGCAACGGTACAATTTAGGGCATATCCTTGAATAAGTAAACTTTCTCGTGCACTTTTACCATGAGCTTTAAGTACATTGATGGTTTTAATAGGAACAGATACTCCACCACGTTTATCAGATGGTCGCTTCACAAGCATGCAAGCATCTACAACCATTTTTGAAAAGAATTCTGAATCAGCCATGATTAATTTGCTAGACATAGATGTAGTAGCAGCATTTTCCAACCAATCACGACGTAAATCATCAACATTTACAGTTAAATTGTTCTGTATATATTTACAAGATTCTTTGCATGCCAAACGATATCCGCTTATGATAGACGTTGGATGTATTTTTTGTTTAACCAACTCATCTGCATTTTTAAGTAATTCTGCTGCTATTATAACCTAAACAATAAACATAATATATAAGTTACACACATGTGTATTAGAAAAATCTAAACATTTTACAGTACTGAATTGGCATTGGTTTGTAAGAAATCATAATTATTGACTTATATATATACATAATGTTGATTAGTTTTTATTCAGTAGGTACTCTAGACTCAGGTTTAGGGAAATTCCGCTATCATATTTCAAATGTATAGCTACCATATTTTCTTTTATTAGGAAGGTTTAAAAGCTATTTCCTTAGCCAGAGTATTATATAGAAACTGACTAGAATTATCAGTTATTGAAAATGGTTGAACAGTATAATCATAAAAATTCATAATCGATCTACTTAAAATTTTAATACACATATATGTTAGGTAAAATTAAAAATATTAATACAATTCCAGAAAAGAGAATTTTTTTAGTTGCATTAAATTGTGTTTAAATAATTCTAATCATAAAAAAAAAAAATCAAACCATAAATTAACTCTAAACAAAAATGAGTACTTTTAGTTGTTGTTAAAAGCAAACATAAAAAATATCTACTATGTTTGGTATAATACTTACAACTGATGTTGTGCCATCACCAACTTCTTCATCTTGTAATTGAGCCAATTCAACGAGGACTCGAGCAGCTGGATGTTCGACATCCAACAACTTCAAAATAGTAGCACCGTCGTTGGTTACTGTGACATCCTAAGACAATAAACACAAGTTTTTCAAAAATTATTTCTGAAGTATTAAACAAATATTTTAACTCACTCCAATGTCATCGACCAACATTTTATCCAGGCCAACGGGTCCCAATGAGCTTTTAACAATGTTTGCAATAGCATTTGCTGCCATCACATTTTGTGTACGGATGGGTGTTCCAGACGTCCTAGAACCGGCCACCGTCAATGCACTTACAGACATGACTTTTTTTTCACTTTAAACACGACAAATAGAATTAATTAACGAGAAAACTCGCTTTTGATTATGATTATATTTATTCTACACCCCTAGTCTTCAGTCTACAATTACAATTTACAGTGAATAGAAGAACAGACGTTCTGTGCATCAGTAGTCACTAGTCAGTACCCAGTTCACCGTAGAAGGATTTGAGGTTATGATTTTTAAAGTGAATTACCATTATTCTATAACAAATTCATTATTCTTATCTTCTTTTTTTCTTCTTAGGCTGTGGTCCCGAAATTGGCGCTATTTTTCGGATCGTTGTTTTGTGATCGGATCACTATTGAATTAAATTATGATTTAAAAATGATTCTTATTGCAACTACTTTATATTTTTTATACAGTTCTTTCTTCAACGTTTGTAGTCAATATTAAAGTTACAATTAATTTGGATTTTGTAGACTTTGGTGAATAAAATAAATTTTTTTTAATTTACGTTTTGTAATAATTTTGATTTATATATCGTGGAATAAAAAATGCACAGTTCATTATCTCTTATCTAGTATCTACAACTTGCGGCTGGCGCACGTGATTTTCAAATAATGTACTTAATAGTAAATAAAGATATTTACCGATACACCGAATACGACATTCAATACAAATTGCAATTTGCAGCTTGCAGCCGCCCTATGGGCATACAGCTATAAAACTATATGGTGTTTTGCCGGTTCTCTTTGGTCAATTGGTTCGCGATTTATATCCGAGTGACATTTTACTGATCAGATTATTGTACGATTTTTACCGTTCGAAATGTTTTACCACGATTTTTACAATGTGGATCCATTTAAGCCCATCAGTATGGAGTTTAATATGTTTTCTTCGGAAGAAGTGAAAAAGCTGTCGGTGGCGCGTATAGATTCTCTCATATCGTTTACTCCTTTGGGCGAACCCGTGCAGGGAGGGTTGTATGACGCCCGTCTCGGGGCGATTCACATGAGCAGTGGCAAGTGCTCGACTTGTAACCAAAATTCCGTTTTGTGTTCTGGCCATTTTGGTCACATCGAATTGCCTTGTCCAGTGATCAATCCAATATTTACTGCAGCTGTCATTCACATACTCAAAATAAGCTGTTTGTCATGCTACTGCGTATTGTTACCACGAGAAACCACAATCTTGTTGGCTGCACAGTTAAAGCTCCTTGATAATGGTCAACTAACACATGCCCACGACTTGGCTACCGAAATAAATGGACTATGTGAAGATGACGAAAGGAATTTGTCTGTTGATGAGCTACAAACATTTATCAATTTATATTTAAAAGAACGTTTACAAGAAAATAATGGATCTTATGTGAAATGTGCTGATGAAATTCGACAAACTTTCATCGCTGAAACTATAAATCAGGTGAGTAAATTTGAATTTGAATTATTTTTTAAATTATGAATCTATGTATTTTATCATAAAATTATTGCATTACCTACATACCTATATCGCATTACAATGCTTTTCTTGTATAGGTTGTTCGACGGACTGGATGTTTGCATTGTAAACAACCACTTTCAACTATATCTAAATCATTTTCCACAATAACCATTTCTCAAGCAACTAAATCAAAAAAAGAAAAGAAAAATAAAGAATATTTGTTTCCAGCAGACATAAAAGAACATATGAGACAATTGTGGATCAAAGAAAAACATTTTATAAGTGCTTTATTGCCAGTCTTGGCTGGGTTGAAAATAGAATACCCTACAGATGTTTGTTTTATGTCGGAAATACTTGTTACTCCTTCTAATATTCGTCCCAACTTAATGGTTAAAGGAAAATTAGTAGAGAGTCCTAGGAATTCAACTTACAAGTCTATTTTACGAGAATCTAAGGTTATACAATATATATGGTTATTACAAGATCAAAAAGAAGGTCAAGAAATTTCATTAGAAATTACCGAACTTGTCAATGATAGTCAAGGAAAAGACAGCATAGAAAAAGTCCAAATTGGTATGCATAATTTACAAATGTGTGTTGATGCTCTTCTGGATGGAACTATGTTTAGATCTTATAATAGTAAAGATCAAGCAGTTAGAATCGGATTGAAACAATTATTGGAAAAAAAATCTGGTATTATTCGTCAGAATATGATGGGTAAACGTGTTGATTATTTTGCACGTTCTGTTATTACACCTGATCCTTATTTAGATACTGATGAAATTGGTATACCTGTGGAATTTGCTAAAAAATTAACTTATCCTGTAGCTGTTACTGACTGGAATAATAAAGGATTACATGGAGTGGTATTGAATGGCCCAAATCATTATCCCGGTGCAAATATGATTGAAACAGATGCAGGAATAGTAAAATGGTTGTCTGCTACAAACAAGTCACGCAGAGAAGCATTATCAAAAACTCTTTTTTACAAAGGTCCAAATTCTAGAGGTCCTCAAATTGTTCATAGACATGTTATTGATGGGGATATGATGCTTGTTAATCGACAGCCATCTTTACACAAACCTAGTATTATGGCACATAGAGTTAAGGTTTTGAAAGGAGAAAAAACATTAAGACTACATTATGCTAATTGTAAAGCATATAATGCTGATTTTGACGGCGATGAAATGAATGCTCATTTACCTCAAAGTGAATTAGCAAAATGTGAAGCTAAAGAATTAGCAAGTGCTGTTTACCAATATTTAGTACCTCGTGATGGTACTCCGTTAAGTGGACTTATACAAGATCATATAATATCAAGTGTAAGAATGACTGTCAGAGGACATTTTTTTACTCGAAGAGAGTATATGCATTTTGTATACCAAGCATTAAGTTCATTTGATCGTGCCATTAAGACTGTTCCTCCAGCGATCATTAAACCAGTAATGTTATGGTCTGGTAAACAAATTATTTCAACATTAATAATTAACTTGACTCCTATTAATCAAAAAACTTATATAAATCTAATGTCCAAATCTAAACTTGAACAAAAATGCTGGAGAAATCCAAATAATTATGAATATCCAGATTTATTATCGGAATTCAATTTTATAGTACGAGACGGCAATTTATTATCAGGAATTCTAGACAAAAATCATATAGGAGCTTCTACTTACAGTTTGGTACATTGTTTTTATGAATTATATGGTGGAAAGTATTCAGCACAGTTACTAAGCGCATTTAGTAAATTGTTTACCGTATATTTACAATGCGATGCCTTTACTTTAGGCGTGGAAGACATATTAGTAACTGAAAAAGCTGATCATTTACGTCAAACTGCTATCGATGAATCTAAAACTGCTGGAACATTAGCTGCTCGGGAATCTCTTGGCATTGAATATATGGGTGAAGATGCAATGAACATGAAATTAGCCGAGTCATACAGCAAAAGTAGTCATTTTCCTGTACTAGTTGATAGAAATTACAAAAAACATCTACAGCCATTTACTAATAAAATAACAAGAGCTTGTATTCCCAAAGGATTACTTCAACCATTCCCAAATAATAATTTACAGCTTATGGTACAATCAGGAGCTAAAGGATCTACTGTAAATACTATACAGATATCTTGTTGTTTAGGGCAAATCGAGTTGGAAGGTAAAAGACCCCCTATGATGATATCTGGTCGGACTTTACCAAGTTTTCCACCATTTGATACGCTACCTAAAGCTGGAGGATTTATAGGCAGTAGATTTATGACTGGAATCCAACCTCAGGAATTTTTCTTCCATTGCATGGCCGGACGCGAAGGTCTTATTGATACTGCTGTTAAAACAAGTAGAAGTGGTTATTTACAACGTTGTTTGGTTAAACATCTTGAAAGTCTTATTGTAAATTATGATATGACTGTTAGAGATAGCAATGGAAGTATTGTGCAGTATTTGTATGGCGAGGATGGCTTAGAAGTAACCAAAAGCAGTTTTTTCAAAGAAAAGCAATTTGATTTCTTAGCTGGCAATGTAAATTCTTTCAACGCTCTTAGAAAAATAAGAAATGATGAATGTTACAAAGAACTTGATGACAAGTTGGAAGAAATCAAGTCTGCAATGAAAAAAAAAAAAAACACTTGTCGAGAAAGTGAATTTTTGAGTTGGTGTTAACACAATTCTATAGCTAAAAATAAAAAGCATCCAAAAACTAAAAATGGTCGTTATGTAAAAGATATTAAAATGTGCAATAAATGGTATGAAATAGATGAAGATGTTAAAAAATCGTAAGTATTATATTTGAACCATCCCTTAAAAGGAATAATTTGTTTACCAATAAAGATTGCTAACCAAATTAGTGGAGCAACTAATATAAAATGGTTCAAAATAAATTTGAGCCTCTATAACTCGCATCTTGAGGGGAATAAAAATAAATTTGATTTATCTATTTTATTAAAGCACTTTGATGGGTAAAAAAAAAATGTAGTTAACGAGGTTTGAATTATTGAGAGTCGTCTGTAAATTAATAAAGAATTCTTAAGTTGTATATTGTATAATATTTTATTACTTACAACTTCTAACTTCATTATTTATTTATAGTTATTCTGAGAAAATACGAAGAGTTCCTGATCCAGTAGGTGCATCTTTTCATCCTGGAGGACACTATGGCTTATTATCAGAAAAAATGGATTCATCAATTAATAAATATTTTGATACAAAGTAAGTAGCTATAATATTTATTTAAAAATATTTTTCTAGAAATTTTAACATTACATTTTTAAGTAATGAATTGAATGACAATGACAAACAAATTGCAAAAGAATCAATACGTCTCAAAGCTATGGCAGCTACAGCTGCAGCTGGTGAACCAGTAGGTTGTATTGCTGCCCAATCTGTGGGTGAACCATCTACACAGATGACATTGAATACTTTTCACTTTGCTGGTCGTGGTGAGATGAATGTTACCCTAGGTATTCCCAGACTACGTGAGATACTAATGATGGCTACAAAAACTATTAAAACTCCATCAATGGAAATACCATTCTTGCAGTCTGAAAAGTAAATTTAAATTTATTTGATCCTGTTTTATTATCACTTAAAATGTTTGAAATATTTGTGTTTTAGTGTTCAAAATGAAGCAGACTTTTTAAGGAAATTAATGACTAAAATATCTTTAAAAGATGTTTTATCAAAAGTACAAGTCAGAGAAAAAGTAATGTTAAACCCAGTTAGACGTATGTGTTATGATTTAACATTACATTTATTGCCACATCGTTGCTATGAATCCATGACCC